ACTTGATGGCAGTCAACAACAAGGAAGATCTAACAATTTAGTGCTGCCTTTGGTTCAGGGGCTGATTAAAGTAATAACACTCTTTTGACATTAACCTAGAGTAGTGGTTTTCAACCTGTGGGTCCCCAGATGTTTTGGCCTTCAGCCCCCAGAAATCCTAACATCTGGTAAACTGGCTGGGATTTCTGGGAGTTGTAGGCCAAAACACCTGGGGATCCACAGGTTCAGAACCACTGACCTAGAGTAAGAAGGGGGGGACACAACTATACAACTCAATTGGCTAAAACATAACTTTTCTGGACAATTTAATAAACACACCAACATGCCTTTGAGTGACAACAGGACCTGTGTTATGACTTCTTCACCATGAAAATGAGAGGTTATCAGGCTATCTTGATTCAGCCAAATTTCTAGCCTTTCTGGTTGCAGGAGGAAAGTCTAAATGTGGTTTCCAACCAAGAACCTAGATTGATTCCTAAGAAAAGCATACATTCCTGAGGCAGAGAGATGAATATAGTCCCCAGTCCTTGCCAGTGATGTCCTAAAGGGAAAAGCAATATTTACCATCCAATTTCATTTCTAACCTGGTGACTCATTCCATTCCCTCTCAGGATCCATTCCTTGCTTTATTTGTAGCTTAATTTCAATGGAGCCCAGTCACTGCAATTGCAAGCTGCGGTTTTTGATCATTTCTTGTGAACCTTTGAACAAGCTCCCATTCTTCCAATGGACAGTTTTAGTACAACCTATCCTACAAGATCCAGCAATCATTTTCCTCTGGTACATATGTTTCATGGTAGAGGTGGGAGTTTAATGAGGACAACCTGAAACCATGCCTTTCAATTACCAGGCAGAACATGGCTCTTTACAATATTCATGGCATCCTCAAAATCACAGCTTGCAACAGAGGGAACCAAATTAGTCCAATCAGTTTTCCCTCCTCTTCTATAACCTCAACCCCTTGATTTTGCATATGGCCACAGAAGCAAAAAAAAAAAAAAAAGCAGATAGACTTTGGATTTTAATGGATTTAATTTAACTGTTAATTAATGACTCCGGTGGTTACGCCCATAGGTTTATTGGAACACGCAAGCCCCTCTCACCATGACAAGGTGACGATGGGGGAATTAATACCATTGATGTTTAATTCTATTCTAATGTTTGTATATCTGTGGATTTCAAATTGTATTGAAATGCTTTTCATGTAAGCCACTTTGAGTCTCCTTTGGGGATAGAAAAAGTGGAATACAAATAAACATAGCGGCAACAAGAAGAAAAGAAAATAATTATGAAGATCTTCGTAGAGGCATTTGTTTAGTAAGGGATTAAAGAACTCATGAGGGGATAAGGGGGGGGGGAAACAAGGGTTGGTTCTTTATGTCTTGGATCAGAATGAGGTAGAGGCTGAAGCTATAAGTAAGGAAATTTCTAGATCATGTGATAATAATAGTATTATCACCCAATCCTGGGTCCTCCAGATGTGTTGGACTTTAGCTTCCAGAATCCCTGACTGTTGGCCAGGCTCTTTGAGGCTTCTGGGGACTGAAGTCCAAAACAAATGGAGGATCAAAGTTTAAGAATATCAGAGAAGCAGGAACTTCCAGATATACGAATCCCATCAACCCAGCAAGCATGTCCAAGGCACTAAGCTGGGAAAGATGATATGGTATATCTCTTGCGCTCCTTGCTCTACTTCTGCTTTTCCTAAAAACAGCTTCCTTGAGTTCTGTATACTCAGATTCTTCATAGGTGTAACTAGGAGTGAGGAACCAACGAAAGATTGTGAATCTCTCTCCCAGTCCGTCCGTCCCCCTCTCTATTACTTCACAGAAGTGGCAATCCTACTATAATTCAAAATTCCTTAAATTCTGGGTTTGGACACCACTTTGGCTGCCTACAAAATAAGGGCTCAGCTGTTAAGGACCTAGAAGGAGATGTCTTGCACCTTGAAATGTCTTTGGAGAAAAAGGGAGAGTATGGTGGGACACTATTTATTCAGTCAGATTGTTGAAAGAGGTGGGGATTTCATGGCAGAGAAATCAGTATCTCTGCCTAAGAAAAAATGTACCCAAAATGGGCTGAATTTGTTAAACTCACTGTCACATGTGCAGTTTTTTCAGCTATCTCTGGCAATGATGGGAGCTAACAAAGGGAAGTCAACCCTCCACATTCACTGGGTTAGCAGCACAGGACCCCCGCAAAAGTGGGGGAAAGCCAATTTTTAAAAACATTTATGTCTGAGGGAATACTCTCTAAGAACCTCTAGGTCCACCAGCACAATTCTATGGTTAACTTCTGCCAGAAGCTAATAACATTATCCTGGAGGACCAAAAAATGTCTGGAGAAGTGTTTTGTTTATGAATCTTTAGGTCTTACAGAGCGGAAGTTGATAATAGAGTCACACTGGAGGATCTAGAACTTCTGTAAATAATCAAATCCACAACTCTGTTTATTGGGATGCAATCTTACAGCCCATCCCAATTTGTAAAAGATTGCAAACAAGTTTGGGAAGCAGCAAAATTGCTTTAAGCTTTGTACTCATTTCAACTACGTAGGAGTCACAAAGCTCTTGGTGTTAAGCATCTGAGGACAATGGCAATGAATGGGATCTGTGTGCTACGCATAGTTTTCCCACTTTTTTGCATGGATGGGCTTGCTGAGAGCCTTTCAGTGGAACAAGAGGTTTATCCTGGGCAGAAAAAGGACTGACAGGGAGCTGTAGGCAGCAGATTTGTGCATGAAATGCAACACACTAAGTTTTAACCTGGAACCATGATTACAGCTCTTTGCCAGGTAGGAGGGGAGCTCTTTGACAGCCTTCTGTCACTCATGTCCTCCTACATCTCATAAAGAACTCAGACCAACAAAAAGCAGTGGATTCAGAGTCTCAGGTTATTTCTCTCTAATTGTTTTCATCTCCTTGCTGAATCTTTCCTTCTGGTTGCCCTAAATCAGGATCGCTGTCTCATCCCTGTCTCCTCTGAAAAAGGACCCAAAAGGTGGCAACGGGTTCAAAACACCAAAGAAAAATATAAGCAATCATGTAGGTGACTGAATCTTCAATCTGATGCATTTGAGGTTGCACAGTTCTTCCTCAGGAAAATATCTCCAAATGAAATCCTCATTAAATTACCGCAAATTATTGTAAAAGTCAGCAATATCCAACACTTCCTGCATTTAATTTTCCTCTGATTTCCCATCTTCCTACAAGTGTATCAGGAATTACAAACATTTGAGTTGATGAGCTGAGACAGAGATAGAGATAATCTCATGTCAAAATTATAAAGGTGTCACAGCAGTGGTTCTCAGCCTTTGGTCCTTCAGTTGCTTTAGATGTCAGCTCCCAGAAACACCAGCTAGCAGTATCCATGATGAGGTGTTCTGGGAGTTGAAAGTGCAAAACATTTGGAGAAAAAAAAAAGATTTTAAATCCTGTGCTAAAGTAAAGGGCTCTTCACTGTTTTAGTCATACACAAAGATAGAGAGATCCAAGCATAGATTCAAATCCTGCAGGCAGATATAAAATCCTACTTCTTCCATTTAGAAGACTCATTAAAAAAACATTCACAACAAGATGACTTAGCGGTACCTAAATCATTAATATAACAGTAGTATTACACAATGGGGAAAAGTGCAAGGACAACTGTATCTCACTAGAGAGTGTTAACCTTCTTTCCAAATGTACCAAAGGCTGGTCTCCAAGTTGTGTGTACATGGCCAGGTTCTTGTAACATTTTAAGGAAGCTTTGATTCTCCTTTCCTCTCCCAGGAGATATGCAGCTGAAGAAAAGGTACATAGCTCCAAATGCATTGGAACATCAGATAACATTGGTTCGGTACATCCTGTGAATATCTAATAGTGTACTTTGTATTGCCACTGAAGTACCAGAAAACCCCATGATAGGGCAGCCATAAGTTGGAAATGACTTGAATGTAGAGAACAACAATAAAACACCTTATCGAATCGTATGCTTCCTACCACCATTTGTATAATCATTGTACAGAAACTATAACAGATACCTCTCTAATATAAATTCTTCAAGATGAAAACAGAATGTATTAACCCAGTAGACAAGGGCCTGGAAGCCTCTGTCCTGTACATGGAGGGCTATAGACAAATCCTTACTATCTCAGTGAGCCCCACTCCTCCTTCCAGCTACTTTTTCAGATCCCACTTTCTCTAACCACTGACCTGAGACAGTGTGACCAGTCACCTGATGGTTTACATATTAGGAGTACTAGAAGATTATTCTTATGAACTAATCTCTTTTCTGATGACCTAATCTCTTCCCCCCTTGCCATGTGGCCATGGGAGAGAGTTTTTGAGTTTGTAAAAAATTTATTTTAACTAAAATGCCCCCTCCCATGTCCCTAAAGGTCATAGGGGATAATTTGACAACCGTTCTGGACTCTCCCACAAGATTTCTTTTTAAAACAGAAGTTAAACCATTAACTCAGCTTCTAGTATACTTTCTGTTTGAAAATAAGTCTAGTGCTAAACTAGTCTAGTCCTAAAGTCCGAGAAAACATAGAATGATTATAATGATGTAGAGTGGGTTTGCAAATAAATAAATAAATGCAATTTTTTAAAAAACTGCAGAGTTCCAAAAAAACGCATGAAACAGCCCTGGTGTTTGCATGTGGCCTGAAGATGACACTTTTCCCATAAGACAATGAGAAGAAGTGCCATCTTGATTTTCTCATAAGACAACGAGGAATTAGAAAATAAAATATGTGGCCAAACTGGAGACCAGAAGGGCTTTAAGAACAGGTGAGAGTGAAACAATAGGTAGCTTCATAAAGAACTAAGATGGGTAATAAGGGACATGTAAATCCTCAATATGAAGCCACAGCACAAGTAATAACTAAATGTGTTACCGGAAAGGTTGGAAGAAGAGAGCTGGTGAAGACATCTGCCAATCTACTCCAACCATTTGGCTCGAGGGTCATGGTGTGAGAGAGAGTGCAAGTAGGAACACAGTTTCATGAATGAACCTTACCCATCACTTGGCAGATAGCGTAAAAATGTGGTGCCTAATACGATAACAACAGAGATACCAAAGAAGAATGCAAGTCGCATATTCCACAGATCGATGGCAGGATCGTCGTCAAAGCCATGGTAATCTGGATTCTGGAAGGACAAATTGTAAAACAGATTAAGTATAGCACTTAGGAGGAAAAATTCCTTTAGATAGGCATTAAGGCCCTGTGACATTTTTCTTAATATTCAGATATGCACAATCTGGTCCAACCCTATACTAAATATTATGGAACAACTTAAAAGTGACTAATTTGCTTTCCTAACATACCTAATCCCAAAATCTTTTTTTTTTTAAAGCTAAAGCAAATTAGATATTATCTTTCTTTGGGTCAAGCAACAATTTGTTTTTCTGAGACCTTCAGTTTTCATCCTTTTACAAGGCTTGTACAGCAAGAAATTTTTACCACTTTCAGTTCCACTTGCCTGCTTACTCCCATTGTAGAAGCTATTAGCCACTTCGCTTGTCCACACCATTGTGAAGCCTGTTGGCAGCAAACAATGTTTAAAAATACAAGAAATGGTTGAGAATTAGACTGAGAATTAGGCTTCTAGACACAGTCTCACTCCATGTATTTTTTTCTTTAGTATTCAATAAGCTAGCAGCTTATTGATGGACACTGGCCATGCAGGGATAAGGAAGAGCATTAAGCAAGGAATTCAGCAGCTCTCTGGACCAGTTTTATGTGTATTTGTGCAATAGAGATTCTTCACTGAAATATCTGAGATCACAAATCCATAATCCAAAGTGAGCAATTTTGAACTTCCAGGCAGGAGGGTAACCTCTTCTATGCCCCAGATGCGAACACAGCACTCTCTCTCCACTGCTCAGACTCAGTTTGTGTCTAACCTACCCTTCAAGCTCCAAAAGTCAGAGCTGTCTGGCATCACCAAGCCAAAGAAGCGCAGTGGATGTTTTTGGAGACATGCATGCCTCCCAGCAGCTTCTTAGACATCAAACCAAGAGGAGGCCAACACTCTGCTGAGAAGAGAGGCAGACACAATACTAAAAGGCAGACACAAAGTGCGAGAGGGTCAAGACAATGGCCCATTCAAGAGGGTCAGCGCAGCCTGGAGCAGTCTTTCCAGACTCAGAATTCAACAGCACAGCCAAAGAAAGATGTATTATGAAAATGTGTCGAAGAGCTCACATATTTCTGAAACACACGCCCTGCCTTTCCCAAGTAAATGAGACTGACTGCAAGGACATGATGGAAACAGAAGACAGCATGCTCTGAGAACTCTTTGCTATTCGAAGTGCTGGACTAAAAACAAGACCAACTAGGGCTGGTGGGTGTACTGTTAATATTGCTAGACATTACTGTTAAGATTTTCAGGAGGAAAGTAATTCCAACTCCCCTGAAATTTCCCCTTTCTAAACCAAAGCGATTGCTGATCCTTGAAATTAAAAACAAGTTTTAGGTTACTAAGCCCCTGAGCATGACTTCAGGGACAGTCCAGCAGATTTCAGATTCTGTTCCATACATTAATTTTATTTATTTATTTCAATTATATCCTGTCTATATCCTTTTATGGATACAAGGCGGCTTACCTGCATTTTAAAAAACAGGACAAAGTTAAAAATTTATTCATGCAAATGTTTTTAAAAATTAGATGAAAGTTCAATTAAAAAAACATGGCTAATGCGCATTAAGATGGATATACATTCATCTTGGTATGCTCTTTCAACTGAATAAATGAAAGAGCACATATGTATGTGACCCTTCACATACATCATCTCTATAACCCCTGTTGCACAGGACAGCATAAGCGAGTTAGCCAGGACTCCATAAGAGAGGGGAGATTAGAATCAAAGAAGTATGAACCCTCACACTACCTCCAGTTTAGGAGAATCAGTGCCTAAAATCTGGAGGAATCAGAAATACTTCATCATCACCAATGTAATGGGGCACTTTCTGGGTAGGATTGATATTAATTTCTTAGGCGTGTGATCTGGATCATGTACTTCCCAGTGTCCTAGTCTGTGTTACCAACACTGAAATGGTGGGCTCAGTCTCTGTCCTTCCCTTCTCCCATATCAAAGGGGGGTGGGAGGAGAAGGCTTGCACACAAGAAAATTTCACGGAGCTAACAAAAGCAGTAGAGATCTCATTAGGCTGTTGCTTGGATACCCCCTTTGCCCAGTTCCAGCACCAGTATGAATTTGAGAGCTCAGGTAAGAGCAGCCTTTCAGCTTGCACGCAGCTCCAGCAGCAGCCCAGGTTGGCCCCACATTCACGCATGGATGCATACAGACATGTCTTCCTTACTGCCTCCTTGAAAGTGTACAGGCACCTCCACAGGCATGCTGACCCTAATGGTGTGCTGGATTCTCAGGATGATGGTGGTGGCAGAAAGATGTTCACTTGGTGAGAGGACCAGTGGAGGCAGGCACCTGGAGCTATAATGCCAGAGCCTGCTTGCTCCATGCCATCATGCGCCCCTCTCTCTGCCCGGCACAGCAGGAGTTCCTTATTCCTTCGCCTACTTGCTGGTAGAGGCTGAGTCACAGCAGGCTTCCGAGTACAGGCGCCCCTCCTCTCTTCATATCCAAGGAGCTATATTTGCAACGGACCCCACCTCACCCCAATCTTTTGAAGCAGAGCAGTGGCAATCCAAAAACTGATGTGACAGGAATATAAAGGAAGGAAACATTTTTAAGGACTATTCTGTTGTCTCTCGGTGGTAGTGGTGACAGATGGCACTGTCTTAGCTTAGCCTGCAAGACTTGTACTCCAAATCAAGTACAATCCTAAAGTTTGCCCAATTCCCCCTTCCTAGCCAATCTTATTTTAGTTTAGACAAAGACAGAGACACAGAACAAACAGCCATCCTGTGCTGTGATGGTGCTAAAGGCCAGAAAGGAGGCAGAATGAGAAGAAAGCAAGGAAGTGAAATATTCTGGAAGTACACCAAGAGTCATTTTCAGAGAGCCATGCTGTTTTTTGGGAAGGAAGGATTAAAACTCATTCCAAAATCACAATTTCCTCCTAATGATGTGGCTGGTGACCTCCACTCTCAGTCTCTTAGGTGCACTGTAAACTTATGTGCCAAAAAAACAACTCAGCATCACAGAAAACTATACACTGTCAGTATTGCCAGGTTTTGCCTGTAGGGCCATCCTCAAAGGTGAATGTCTTTATGTGATTTTTTAAAGGGCACCAGGGCTCAGCTTAACTAAAAAGCTAACAGCTGTTCCTGAAGTTCTGGTTCTGAACTACAGACACATATCCTTCAGTTGCAGTCCACTCAGTGATAACAGAGCAGCATACTTTACATGCTCAGATATATCCCAATACAGCACATGTCCCAGGATGTTTGGGAGTGACCTGTCAATCCGTTTGCCAATAAAGTCTCAAAGAAAGGTGTGTCTTTGAGGCCACACATTACACAGCTTGGTTTAAAGGAACAACCTGGAATAGATAAACAATCTGGAGGCAGGATGATGTTTTCTCCCAGCTACCCTGGTACAGAAACGCTTGAGCAATTATTTCCTCTGCACCCCCTTTATCTCCCAGCCTTTTTGCAATGACCCATGGCAAAGGGAGCCGTCCTGCGCTGGTGTTCCCCTCAGGCAAGGCAGCGGTTTCAGGTCACTATAATTAATTAAAGAACACGAGCAGCTTTGCTGCCATTTAAATATTTAAAGAGCCTTTGTACTGAGAGAAAAAGCACAGGCACAGGCAGAAAACATGCACCCAGATAGGCAAAGAAAGGGGTAGCAAGTACTGCAGAAAGCACAGCCGATATTACCCCAAGACTGGAATCTGATAAATGTGTGGGAAAGTGAGGCATGGGCAATCAGGCAAACAACCCCTCCTGTTCCTCCCAGCAGCTCTTTTGGCCGCTTATCTCAGACCACTGGTGCCTTCTGAGGATAGAAACCTTTTCATAGAATCATAGAGTTGGAAGAGACCACAAGAGTCCAACCCCTGCCATGCAGGAACACCCTGTCACAGAAGAAAAGCACCATCAAGCACTTCATGTGGACCTTCACCCATCTCACCTCTTCAGATCAGCCTCAACAATTATTTGTGGCTAAGAGTTGACCAATGATGTATGTGAGCTTGTAGGGGCTTAATTCTAATTTTGCTTGAGGTTATAAAAGATGGAGGTTAATATCCAAGTACCCCACACTACTTGGTTAATAACCCGCAATTCATTTGGTGGATCTGAAATTGTACAGAGTCAGCTTGGGCTATTTGAGAATGCCCTCTTCACTTTCCTAGACAAAATCAGGCCCTCTCAGTTTAACCATCCATTAAAAGCCCACATGTATTGTCCTTTCCTTGCAGGAAAGGCAAGGGCAAGCAATATGTGAAATGTATAAAAGCAAGGGTCAAGCCTCAAGCTCATGCTGTACAACCTAGGCAATGGTGTGACATTAGCCCAGGTTTTCAATGGACACAAAGTTTTAAAAAACTAGTTTCTCTGATTATATTGGATATTTTAATGTTCATTTTCACACACCCAAAAATGTCTTATTCCTCTAAATTGGGGTTGCAGCATAACATAATACAGACTCTAACTATCAATTATACTACTTAATTCTAAGGAATTAAAGAAAGAAAAATTCATCTCTCCTCCTACTCTATCATTACCACCAAAATATATGGGATGGGGAGGGTGAGATTCTATGCAACTAAGGAGCAACAGGAATCACCATTCAGGAACATAAACATTTGCCCAGTTCCATTGAAGGAAGCATCGGAGACATGCACCATCCCTTGGCTACTTAGACTTCTGAATTACGATCAATTAAAATGTGCAAAAATGTGCAAATATCTCCTCCAGATACTAACAGAGGAAGTCAGGGGAGAAGAAAAAGAGACTGGTTGTACGTTATAACGGGGTTCCCAGCACTGATGCATATTCCTCCTTGTGCAGGATTTCATTTCTAGGGACATGAGCATCCTGCACTCAAACCCACTAATCACTACAGTGGTGGTAATGCAGTGAGGATTAGGGGGAGATAAGAGGTAGAACAATAGAGAGCTCTCTGCATAGGGCCTTGACCTGCTTCCTGTTTGGGAGCCCAACTTTGTGGCAGGCATCAAGATGGCAGGCTGAGAGGCGAGGGTGTCAGTCATGAC